TCCATTAACCCTTTAAGATAATAGTTTATCTTTAGCTACAAAATGATTCACTAACTCACTGGTACGTAGTCTGTTTAATAATGTCGAGTGGGAGAGATGCCCAAGAAAGACACTTTGAGAGCAGTGCGAGGGTAAAAGTGCAGGCTGAATAGATAACATTTCTGCACCTGTCCAACCAAATGCAGCTGCAGATTTAGGTGCAAATCGTTTTTCTAAAGGTTTTTTATTTCACTTTCATTCATTCTAAAAGTTCTGATGTTGGTTCTTACAGAGTTTTAGAATTTGCACAGTCAAAAAGATAAGAAAGCATACTTGGTTTGCGGAAGACTCTCAGGGCCACGCATCCTATCAAGACCGCAGCGATACCAAAGACGATGCAGCCAGAGATGGAAAGAAGCACCCGCCTCTTTAACACTAAACATTAAAACAAAACAAAGCACAAGATTAATGACAGAATATTATTTTGAGAGAAGATTCATAACTAGCAGAGCTCAGTTGTACTTACGAAGGTTCTTGGTCTTGAAGGAGTCACTGGATTTTGAGTATAAGGGTCTCTCATCAGCATGTGCACAGCAGGTGTAAGTACTCTGGTCGGGGTCATTGCTGGGAGTTACTGTATGTGTCACATTGAATGAATCGATTCGTTCCCCCTCTTTGAACCTATTAAAATTCAGTTTATTGAACATCTACATTACTACTGAATTTTCCTATAGGGCAGAATCTACACAGGGCACTAATAATTATGAACATTGTTATATTACCATGTGTAATGCATCCAGTTGTGCGTGCTCTCCTTTACTTCACATTTTAGACTCAAGCTATCAGTGGAGAAGACGTCTGACCAGCCAGTTAGCAGGACTATAGAAGCCTTTGGGCGCTCTGTAATAAACGCAACCAAGAAGTGAATAACGAACATTCAAAACCAGAAGAACGAAAGGAGGAAATCAAAAAACGTACCTTCAACGCTGAGCTTTATTTTGTTACTGTAGCTTGAATCGAAGACCCTTTCTGTTCCTCTGCTAACTTTGCATTTATATGAACCAGAGTCTTTTGTTGCCACAGAAGTGATGTTGTGTTTGCTTACAGATAAGTCTAACTCACTGCCATCTGGAAGCACAAACCAATATGTCCATCCAGAGGAAACATTAACGTGACAGTTAAAGGACACCGAGTCCTCAGAGTGCATCAAATTATGTGCCGGATTCTGCTCCAGTGTGACTGTCGGTTTTGCATCTGAGGGTTGATAAGAATCAACAATGAGAGTTGTACAAGAGCACTGAAATACAAGTCAGACGGCGTACCTGATCTAAAGGTAAGACGACCATTAACTAGTCTGCACTGCTTTAAATATCCATTTTCATAACGAGAACCCTTCTCTGCCAGGATGAAAAAACTTTTTTATTTGAGGTAGTTACAGAGTTACACAATGATGCTGCTCCATCCCTATGATGCTACAGTAAACACAACAACATTTTTAATGTATTTTTTAGTGTGTAAATATAATAATAACTTTATAGGACTTCATGTGAATTAACCGCTGACTTCCTGAAGACTTTATCACCTTTGCATTGAATGAGGTTAACATGGGTGTTTATGTTTTTATGGCTTCTCTAATTTTCGAGCCAACCTTCCCCCTCTGGTGTGAACATTGCATATGTAAACGGGTCAACACTCTCATAGTCTAACTGTTAGCAAGAGAGTCAACAGCCTTACATTTGCAACCTTTTAAACCTTTACTTTAAAATTACAGCTAACACAGCAAAA